TGTTAAACGCTTTAAAAAAAGTTTAATACTTTCGCAATCTTGCTGCTCACTCACGCACACACACACGCACGCACACACAGACACACACACACAGACACACACACACACATATACATGCAAGCATTATAAACACACACACACACTGTATGTGTGTTTGTATGTGCATATACAAGGGTATATATATATTTATATATATATATATATAGATATTCTTTCACTAGGGTTTTCTTTAAAAGTAAATAAATGCTTATTCAGATGTGTAAGCTTGACATTATTTGGTCATTCTTTTAGTGTGGATATCTGTCAATTAAAAATTAATATTAATTATATTCATAATAATAATATCAATAATAACATTAATAATAATAATATAGGTGATAACAGTTATAACAGTAATAATAATTTGAGGTTTTTTTTTGATGTTTATTGATTTTAAAACGTCAGAGAGAGAGAGTGAGAAATAGAGAAAGAGAGGTGAATGAGTATTGTCCATCTTAGCAAAATATTTCCTGGATCTAAAAATAAATTGACAAAATTACCCCTTACATCGGCTAGAGTGACAACAACAACAACAACCTCCTGAGAAACAACATTAACACGATTGCAACACTTCCAACGACGGAAAATTTGATATAAATCAATAACAACAACAACGGTCTCAGCAACAACGGCAACGGTCTCAGCAGCAACGGCAACGGTCTCAGCAGCAACAGCAACGGTCTCTGCAACAACATCAATAACGCCTTCCAATTCGTATTGAAGACACCGTCTCAATTCTGCAAAAAAATTGAAACAAATGATGGAAGCGGTTGAAAAAGCGGAAATTGAAGCAAGTGTTGATGAAAACAACAACAACAATGTTGAGAGGATAAAAAATGTTGAATGTGAGAGTAATAAACTATCTGATGACAGCAAAATAACCGACAACAGCAACAACAACAACAACAAAAACAACAGCAACAACAGCAGCAACAACAACAATAACAACAACAACAACAACAAAAGAAACCCTGAATGTAGACAAACAATTGCCGAGGGCGATAAAAAACCAGCTGATAACAACAAAAAATTTGTCAACAGCAACAACAACAACAAAAATATGAATAACAATAAAAATAATATCAACAAAACTAATATTGGCAGCAACAACACCACGAAAAACAACAACAACAACAACAGAACAAATGTTGACATCAACAACAATAATATAAAAACCAAAGCTGATGACAACATAAAAACAAAAGTTGATGAGAACAACAGCAACAACAACATAAAGACAAATGTTGATCAGAAAAACAACAACAACAACAACATAAAGACAAAAGTTCACAACAACAACAAGAACATAAAACAAAAGTGAC